AATTAAAAACAAGTTCACAAATCAAGAACATAAATACTTATTTACCATTACGTTTAAATTCATTTCATTCGCATTAAACATTTAATTCAGTCTGTGAGTATAAAGAACATTTATTAATCAATAGAATTAAAAACAAGTTCACAACAAGTTCATAAATACTTATTTACCATTACGTTTAAATTCATTTTATTCGCATTTATTTAGTCGGTGTGTATAAAATTATTTACATTCAGTAATAAGTTTAAAATCACATAGTCAGGTGCAGTGTTCATTTTTCATGTGCGCACACTTTTGCGCACGTGAAAAATGAACACTGGTCAGGTGTGAAGATAAGATACAACTAAATACGGAAAATATGCACATTGTAATGGTAATAACACGCAACCAGCATGGTGTTTGTCGTGTGACCCTAACTTAGCAACAAGATGGACAAGTGAAAGAAGGATATTGATGATACATTCCAACTTAGAACCTTAAGTTATGAGATTGCTTTTGAATAGATTCCATTTAATAGAATATCTGATGTTAAAAAAATCGATGAAGAAGGATTTGGTTCCGTATATTTAGCAACCTGGTTGGAGTACAAAAAGTTGATAGTGATGATAATTATGTAAGAGCACATAAACCATCCAGCACCGTTGCACTCAAGACGTTGACCAGTTCAAAAAACTATGATTTTTTAAATAAAAATTAAATTAAAAAAAAGGTAAAAAATAAATTAATTAAAAACATAAAAAAATATAATTAAAAAAAATTTTAATTAAAAAATAAATTAAAAAATAAAAATAATAAAATTTAAAAAATAAATTAAAAAATAATAAAATTTAATTAAAAAAATTAAAACCAAATTTTAAAAAAAATTTATAATATCTAAGAACCTAAGACAAAGAAAAAAAATTAGAAACTCGAACCCGGGCAATGCCCGGGTCCTAAGAGCTAGTAAAGAATACTAATAAGTTATAATTTATTGCCCAAATAATGCGACCCTTCTAACGTCAACCATTGGAGGCATGACAGTACCAAGCTCTCTCCCTTACGATGGCTACACTAGCAATCGCCGATCTATCAAAAACGATACTTTTGCTGCACTTATAAAATCTAGATTCCAGATTTCCCGTGATGTATATAGCCAATCAGGATCAGATAAAATTTTTTTTTCGTGAATACCATATGGGCAGATTTGTTTCCAATCATCAAAACATGTGATTATCGAAAAGTCACACTGATTGGCTTATTTACTTAATACAGTATTAAAATTTGGGAATTTTGGGCTTCGTAAAAGTAAAATAACTTTTTATATATTATGGCTTGAAGTTTTATATTTCGTACTTATATTTAACAAGACCTTGAATTTAGAGATCCCAAATTCTTTTTTCAAGATCCTAAATTTTTACTAGTAAAAATGCCAGCAGGTAGACCACGTAAAAGCACTGGTCCGTGTGCAGTGTCGGAGGCAAACCCACCGATCTCAAAAAAAAAAAAAAAAAAAAAAAAAAAACTAAACTATCTGACTTGTACACAACCAAGTCCATTCCAAGAAATGAACCCGGCAAAGCCCCAAAGAAGTCTTTATTGAGGAATTGCCACATCTGTGTACCTGCAGCTAAGTTGTGGCTAAATAGTGGCTCAATTGAAGCTGTAAGGATCCCAAGACCACGGTAAACTGGGAAAAGAAGTTTGGGCAGAAAAATAAGTCCTCACCTATTGGTAAATGACCGACCAAACAAGACCGAAAAGGGAGATGATCTGATGATTGTCTGTGGGTAATAAGCAAATCAGGCAATAGAGGGGTGGCGGTGTAGAGACGCCACCTACCGTTTGGAGATGGAAGAAAGGGACACAATCACGTCATAATAATGACATGAGGGGCGAGACTGAGAATTCTTTTAGTTCTTTCATTTTTTTTGTTCTGTTCAAACTCGTATAAATAGAGTAGCGTTTTGCTAAAGTGGTAAGGACATTGAAGTCCGTCTTCAAAAATAAAAAGGATACGATTCGAATAAAACACTTGATACTTTGCATGTATAAAATTCATTCATTTATTCCTATAACCATACTTCATAAACTAACTTGCCTTACCTTCACCAAATCTAAATCACCGCCTCTATATTCAGATTGGTTGTGTGGTTGTTTTGGTTTTTGTTGTGCTTGGATTGGCTTCTTGATCTGCTTCGCTTTCTCATTTCGCCTCCGACAATTGTGGTGGTGACTGTGAAATCCTACACTTGGGACCTTAATTTAGTTGAACTGTAAAAGTTTCTTTTTTGGATTAGGACTAACAGATTGAGTTCTCGAGAAGTTTTTTTTTTAGTCTTTTTTTTAAACGAAACAGTCTCCTTCCTTCCTTTTTTTTTTGGCAATTAGAACGAAGAGGCAAAGCCAAAACTAATAAGAATTGCAAAGAATCCAAACAACGAGTATGGAGCAACAGAGAGTGGAAATAAACATTTTCTCTGACAATGACGAAAACGGAATCGATGATGCTGCCCCTTGTGAGGCAGAACACCCAGGCCAGAACTCCCCCATGACCGATCATAGTTGCACCCCTGTCAATGACCCGCCAATGTATCATGTCGGCAACGATGACCGGAATAACCCTCCGGCCCCAGAACTGCTACATGCAATATTGCAAGAAATCGCAAATGCGTTTAGAGACGCCTCTGCTAGTGTCATTAATGCCGCCCGCCCCCATTACGGAAAACCAACTTTGTATGGGTCGAACCCTTCCTTGGGGAAGAAGATGAAGACCCCCTCGAGTGGGTAGAGGCATTCGAATGAGCTGCGGATGTGAACAATTGGTCTCCTGAAAGAAAAGTAAAAATAGCCTCTGGCTATTTGTGTGGTATTGCCACCAATTGGTACGATGGAGTAAAAAGGACCATTTAGCATTGGGACGATCGTAACGATCATGATCGAAGTTTTGTCTCTTACTTCCTACAATATTTTGCAACACCCGAACGCCGCCATCAATGGCAAGCAGACTTGAACGAGTTAACCCAGTGAGAGGTCGAACGAGTGGATGCGCACGCTTACAACTTTAAATGGTTGTTACGTTTGGTAGATCTAGAGAACCGCCTTCCTCAACCATATGTGGTACAGATGTTCCTGGGAGGTTTGAAGCCAAAGATAGCCTCTTGGTTAAGTGTGGCTGACTCCCAGAACCTTGAAGAAGCTATAATCAGTGCCCGTAAAATTGAGGCTGGCAGGAACTATAGTAAAAGGAATATCGCATGAACCCGAAATTCTTGGTACAACAATGACCTTAACCGGCTAACCTAGCAGATGCAAATCATGTCGTAAAATTATGAAAAACTGGTTTCGACCCTGGTAGCAAGGATTGAAACAAACGAAGCAAGACCCCGTTACAACAACAATCAAGGACACAACAATAATAATGCTACTCGGTTAGTCTGTTATAACTGTGGAGAGCCCGGGCACATCTCGTGAGAATGCATGTCAGAAAGAGCCCCCAGACAAAATAATGCTCCAAGGAACCCACCCCCAAATCTGCTGCCAACCCAGTCCAAAACCCAAGGATTAACTTGAACAACCCACCAGTGCAGATATTGCACTAGACCTGGAACGTGAACTTATGTGACCTCAATGATGCCGGTTATCAACCGGAAGGGGAAGATGCGTTTGTACTGCCTGCCTCCTATCACCAACCTTATACGGCGCAGAGACCCCATCGTAATACAAAAAATCAGAAAGCCAGGCAGAAGAAAGGTTGAGAACCAACCAGCCGGTAGCCAGTGCCCCCGTAATGCCCCCGATTGATGTGATGTCTGAACTTGTTCCCCATGAGCCCCGGAAAGACCACCACCACATTCCTAGCGAAAGAGAGGCCTGTCAATAGTCGATCAGTTTGAACCGTACAATGTAGCCCAGGATATTCTAGAAATATAATCAAATGTCACTGTTGGACAAATGCTGCAATACGAGACCAAAAACGTCACTTGGCCCAAGTACTAAAGAGACCTATCGCAGTTGAACCAATTCCACCACTCAAGATGGAAACAAACGTGATTCAGCACCTAAGCAATGAACGAACTACTGCCGCTCTCTGCTATATACGAATTAAAAACAATCTGGTTGTCGCCGTTTTGGACTCTGGTGCCACTATATGCCTGATGTCAAAAAGAATGATGACAAAACTGGGGTTGAAAATTGACGAACCATCCACCACTGTCGTTGTAACTGTGAATGAAACCAGGGAGCGAGCCCTGGGAAAAATTAACAACCTCAAGGTAGTGATCCGTGATATGTTGATTCCCACCACATTCCAAGTGATTGAATCTACCAATGATCTTTTGTTGTTGGGAATAGAGTGGTTTGTAAAAGCTCAGGCTTAGTTACATTTTGTGGAAAAATGACTTTACCTTACGTATGAAGCCAAAACCAGCGAAGTACCAATATCTACCGATGGAGGTCCCCCGGTTGAACCTGTTGTCGAACCTCTACTAAGCAAGGATCTATTTGATGAGTTTGAGTACGAAGATGAAGCTTTGAACGAAGCCAAGGGTTACTATACGGAAGAAGGTCTCTACAACGAGCTGTTCGAAAACCCATGGAGAAACCAGCAGGATTCCCCTGCGTATATGTTTAATATCGAAGAACTACCAACCCAGGACCCTGACCCCAAAAATGCACCCCCATAGAAGACAGGTTAGAAGAAAGCCTAAAGGATGTTCCCTTGAATCCGCACAGAAAAGAAAAAGCCCTCGGGATGCTGCTTGTGGAAAAAGATATTTTTGCTCGCGATGTAAGTGACCTCGGACAAACGGATCTTGTAACCCACGAAATAGACACCAGTTCCGCCTCCCCCATTAAACAAGCACCTTACTATGCTGCCCCCAGCATACGTGCCTTTAAAAAAAAGGAGGTGGCGCAATTAAAGGCAAAAGAGTTGGTTTGAGAATCGAAAAGCCCATGGGCTTCCCCGGTCATAGTTGTCTTCTAAAAGGGTAGAAAACTATGAATGTGTGTCAACTATTGGAAGCTGAATGCAGTAACCATGAAGGATACTTTCCCCCTTTCTCGGATAGATGACCTTCTCAAAGTGTTCAGGCATGCCACCTGGTTCTCCTCCCTAGATTTGTTATCAGGGTTTTGGCAGGTAAAAATCAACGAAAAGGATCAGGAAAAAACTGCGTTTGAGGTTCCGTTCAGCACCTACAAGTTCGTCATTATGCCGTTCAGCCTCTGTAACACCCCCGCAACCTTCCAGTGAATGATGAATTATGTGTTAGCCATCTTTATTGAAAAATTCGTTGTGGTTTACCTTGACGATATAATTATCTACTCCACCACCCTCGACGAATATATAAGGCATATTGCTACTATTTTTGCTAGACTAAGGGCCGTAAATCTAAAATTGAATTTGGATAAGTGCTCTTTTTTTCGGCCCCACCTTCAGTTCTTGGGGCATATTGTTGGACAGAATAGAGTTTGCCCCAATTATGGGAAAATAGAGAAGGTTTAGGAGTTCCCTGTCCTCGCGAATTTGAGACAACTACGTGGGTTTATAGGACTTGTGACTTACTATTAGAAGTTCATTCCAAACTTTGCCTTGATCACCTGCCCCTGCATTATCTCTTGAAGAAAGATGTGAAATATGACTGGAAACAGGAACAAGAGGATGCATTCAATCGATTGAAACAACAATTAACGGAGGCACCTGTGCTCTATTATCCCAACTTCGACAAACCATTCATCGTCCATGCCAATGCATCAGGGATTGGGTTGGGCACCGTACTGGCCCAGAAGGATGACCTTGGGAAGGAATACGTGGTGGCCTATGCAAGTCGCATGTTGACAAAAGCTGAAAAAATTATAGTACTATGGAACTGGAGTGTCTTGCCATTTTGTGGACAATTGAGTACTTTCGTTACTATTTTGGCTTGGACCCTTTTTTTGTCGTTACCGACTATGCGGCGTTGAAGTGGCTACAAACTTCAGCCTTGACAGGTCGAAGGGCTTGTTGGGTACTGTGTTTATAGCTATATAATTTTAAGATTGTACACCGCCATGGCTGAAAGCATAACAATGCAGATGCACTATCAAGAATCCCCGAACTCGCTACAATATCAGAAAAGCTGAAGGCTCCAGAAAAGAACTCCAGACCACAACCAATAGTAACTGATTAAAAAAAATAAATAATAATAATAATAATAATAAATTATAGAATATAATAATAGTATATACTTATTAAATCCGGGTTTTAAATCCAGACCAGATTACCGGTGTCCTGGCATACCTTAAATTTTCTTTAAAATTTCTTTAAATTTCCCCTACTTTTCCCACAAAATTTTCATAGCAGAAGCGCTTTTTATAAATATATATATATCGGTCTCACGCTTTGCTCACATTTCTCCCGTAGTTCTAAAAAAAAAAAAAGAAAAAAAAAAAAAAAAAAAAAAAAAAAAAACCTTACCAATAAAAGTTTTTTTCAGATCACTATCGGCATTTATTCCAGTACCTTGATATGAAATACCTGCCGCCAACTCTAGACAAAAAACAAAGGCGGAAGTTGATAAAGAAATCAGAATTTTTCGAAGCAAGAGAAGGCCTTTTATATAAAAAAGACTATTGAAAAAAAGGAAACTTGCTCTGGGTGCTACGAAGATACAAGGTTGACCCAGTCTTGTTCTTGGTATATACGCATCCGCTGGGCGGCTATTTTCATAAGGATGTGATGTTTGAAAAGCTCCGGGATACATACTTCTGGTCCTAGATATATCAGGACATCTGAAAATATGTGCAAACGTGTAATGCATACCAAAGGAGGACCTGACTCTATACCCAAGATGTCTTACATCCAATACTCGTCTCGGCCCCATTTTTTAAGATTGGGATAGATTTTGTAGGTTTCCTCCCCCGCATACCATGTTTAAACTGGTATATTATAGTCACCACGGACTATATGACCCGTTGGCCCAAGGCCCGTGTGGTAGAAAAAGCCAATGCCCAGACTGTGGCTGGATTCAATTACGATAACATTGTGTGTTGCCACAGATGCTCCAATCGTATACAATCTGACCGTAGTACCCATTTTCGCAATGATGTCATCAAACTTCTCCTGGAAAAATTGAAAGTAAGGCACCAATTTTCCACCCCATACCATTCTCATACCAACGGTCTTGTCAAAAAGTTTAACAAAACTTTGTGCGAGGCCATTGGTAAGCTAGTTAAGAACATTGTCAATTGGGATCTATTGATCCCCTCAATTTTCTTTGTGTATCGTACTGTCTGAAACTCCACTACTCATATGACTCCATTCTTTATTGTGTATGGCCGTGAGGCCAGACAACCGGTTCACCCCAGTCATTCAGAAGAATTATTGGAAGATATGATACTCCAAAGGGTGTTTGAGTTAATACACGGGGTACTTATCAGTAGAAACCAGGCAGTGAAAAGGGTGTAGTTTCTACAGAGGGCTGAAAAAGCCTATTATGATCAGAAACATTGACTAAACGTCAGATTCAAAATTGGAGAAAAAGTTCTCCTAGAAGATGCGAAAAGGAAGTATTCACGCAGTGACAAGTTCACCCCCAAATGCCTTGGCCTATATTATATTTATGATAAACTCCCTTATGACTTCTACAAATTGAGGACACTTGAAGGAAAAGTGATACTAGCTCCCTTTAACTTGAGTTTGCTCAAGAGGTATTATGACTGAGAGGAGGTAGAGACAGAGTAAAAAGAGACATGATCAAAAATTTTAAAAAAAAAAAAAAAAAAAAAAAATATATATATATATATATATGTTTGTTGAAAATGGGTTGCTAGAGTAAGAGGTCGGTTGCAACAGCTGTGCACAGGGTTAAGGAGCGCATAGCAAGGGAAACCTTCGTGAATATGTGGGCACGAATTTTTAACGGACTTTTAAGAGTTTTTTTTTTTTTGATTGATATCTTCTTTTAGGCTTGGGTGTTAGGTTGGTGCGTTAATAAAGGCCTGGTTGGGTTAATTTGCCCCCATGGGTTAGAATCTAAATTTTTCACGGGTTGAAAAATCAGTTAAGGGAGAACTGTTAGAGGCAAACCCGCCAATCTCAAAAAAAAAAAAAAAAAAAAAAACTAAACTATCAAACTCGTACACAACCAAGTCCGTTTCAAAAAATGAACTCGGCAAAGCCCCAAAGAAGTCTTTATTGAGGAATTGCCACATCTGTGTACCTGCGGTTAAGTTGTGGCTAAATAGTGGCTCAATTGAAGCTGTAAGGATCCTAAGACCACGGTAAACTGGGAAATGAAGTTTGGGCGGAAAAATAAGTCCAGGGAAGGTCCACCTTTTGGTAAATGATCGACCAAACAAGACCGAAAAGGGAGATGATCTGATGATTGTCTGTGGGTAATAAGCAAATCAGGCAATAGAGGGGTGGCGGTGTGGAGATGCCACCTACCATTTGGAGATGGAAGAAAGGGACACAATCACGTCATAATAATGACGTGAGAGGCGAGACTGGGAATTCTTTTAGTTCTTTCATTTTTTTTGTTCTGTTCAAACTCATATAAATAGAGTAGCGTTTTGCTATAGTGGTAAGGGCATTGAAGTCCATTTTCAAAAATAAAAAAGATACAATTCGAATAAAACACTTGATACCTTGCATGTATAAAAGTCATTTATTTATTCCTATAACCATACTTCATAAACTAACTTGCCTTACCTTCGCCAAATCTAAATCACCGGCTCTATCTTCAGTTTGGTTGTGTGGTTGTTTTGGTTTTTGTTGTGCTTGGTTGGCTTCTTGATCTGCTTCGCTTTCTCATTTCGCCTCCGACAGCAGTATGTAGCAAGGATGACCTGAAAGAAAAGTTTCGCTTATTAACGCCAGACCTTTTGGCTAAAGCTATGCAAAGTCCGGCCATTTCAAATTTAAAGACGGAACTTAGCTTATATAGCCAACTTTGTACAAACATTACATTGAGTTAAAGTATATGATAGAAACTTAAGCCCAAATAAAAGACAGAAATATGGATCCAATTCAGTTTACAACATTAACAAAACACGTATTGGAGATAAAACTTCTAATGAGCGATTTAATACTGGAAGTTGCTGCCTAAGTAATATAGACATTCCTGGAGATGGGATAAAGACATTCGAAGAGAATTTAAAATCTACAAAGGGTGGAAATTTCAGTGGACAACTAAGTGTTAGAAACTGTTATCAATATGGAATAGACACTCGCAAAAATAAAAAAAAGGCATTTGAATAGTTCTTGAAAACTGCTGAAAGTGGAAATTCTGATAGACAATTAATTGTTGGAAATTGTTATTATAATGGAATAGGCATCTCTAAAGATGAGACAAAGGCATTTGAATGGTACTTAAAATCTGCTGGGGTGAAAATTCTAGTGGATTTTTAAGTGTCGGAAATTGCTATCAAAATGGGATAGGCATAACCAAAGATGAAAAAAAGGCATTTAAATGGTTCTTGAAATCAGCTAAGAGTAGAAATTCTAGCGGACAATTAAATATTGGAACCTGTTACCAAAATGGAATAGATATTCGTAAAGATGAAAAAAGGCATTTGAGTGGTACTTGAAATCTGCTGAGAGTATGAACTCCAATAGACAATTAAGCATTGAAAATTGCTACCAAAATGGAATAGGTGTCTCTAAAAATGAAAAAAAAGCATTCGAATGGTACTTGAAATCTGCTGAGAGTGAAAACTCTAATAGACAATTAAATGTTGATGGAGAAAACACATTTAAACAGTATCATAAATCAGCAATAATCTCAACATCCACAATGCTTAATAGAAAACGGCCTTTTTCAAGTATACAATCAGCATCAGGACAATATAAATAGCTTGTTGCCTTTGGAAAAGATTCTGAAAAAGAACTTTTTGCATTAATTATAAAGCATCAATTAGTTACGAATGATAAACAACTCACGGTTTATATACGTAATATTTAATTAAATGTTAATAATGAAGGTATTAATTTAAATTATCAACCATTTAACAAAGAAATGGAGCTTTTGAAGTTAGACACTACTACTCGCGCCTGTGATGAATCTTTACTATTATGCGATAGTTATCGCCATTTGTCTGCTGTTGAACCTCAACTAATTAGAGAACATGAAGTTGCAACACAGAGAATAGAAATAACAAACCTAATAAATAGAAAAATTAAAATTAAAAATTTTAATATTGACAATACTATAAATCAACCTAGCCCCGATGATAATATATTATCTGAATATAGTAATGAAATAATAGTTGAACAATCAGAAATTGGAAATGGTGCTTATAGGTCAATCAAATCTATTCTAGATGTTCTTGTTCCTATTTGGAAACAATCCTCTTTATCTATTTTTATTTCAGGAGATATGATTAAGCTAAAGCTTGAAGGTGATGGTCATAATATGGGCCGCAAACAAAATCATGTGATGATGACTATTTGTCTTCTAAATGAAGGTAAAGAGGTTTTAAAACCTGATTATCAATATTGGTAAGCTTTAGAAATTAATTTTAAGTATTAATTGTTATTATTAATAATATAAATTTAGATTTTTTTTTTTATTTAAGTATTTGTTTATATGTCAAGCAAGAAAAATATGACACATTGGCAAAAGTTAGACATATATTCAAAGATCAACTTTTAGATATTAAAAATAATAGTTTTTTTGATTGTGACAA